ATTACCTGTTGCCTAAGAATGGAGAAATATGTCAGAACTTCCCTTTAACATTTGGTTTCGGTAGTCTCTATGCAATGTGAGAAAAGTCGACTCATTTGATGTGGGTTTCTCAAGGCACCATCAACAGACTACGCTGTTATGTGTTTGAGTGTTTTGACATATATTAAGAAAAAAATCTCATGGCTGGCAAGTCCCCAACAAGTTTGATTTTATTTGGTACTTATACCGACTGGTGCTGGAGGAGACTCTTGAGAGTCCCATGGACTGCAAAAGATCCAACCGATCCATTCTGAAGGAAATCAGCCCTGAGTGCTCACTGGAAGGACAGATCCTGAAGCTGAGGCTCCAGTGCTTTGGCCACCTCATGAGAAGAGAAGACTCCCTGGAAAAGACCCTGATGTTGGGAAAGATGGAGGGCCCAAGGAGAAGGGGACGACAGAGGACGAGATGGTTGGACAGTGTTCTCAAAGCTACCAGCATGAGTTTGACCAAACTGCGGGAGGCAGTGGAAGACCGGAGTGCCTGGCATGCTCTGGTCCATGGGGTCACGAAGAGTCGGACACGACTAAACGACTAAACAACAACAACATGTACCGACAGCCACTGCTACTGGCCATCTTTGTTTCCACAAGAACAATAATCGTATCTTCTTGTCTGAGTTCAGTTCAAATCTCTACATATTCCGATGACGTATCCAACCAAGTGCTATAACTCTATAATAGAAAGCTGCTGCCTAATTCTTGGTTTTGCTTTGTTGAATTTTGATTACTTAAAGTCAAAGAGGGGAGAAATAAGGGTGCTGGAGTGAGTTGTCGCAGATGGAATCTATTATGACTCCGGAGTCCAAGAAAAAAATGAAATCCGGAATGAAGATTTCTCTTCTCCAAGCAAAGAGGTTCCTACAGACCTTCTCAGCTGTGAAGCTCCAAGCTTCTCCAATCAATTTGGAAGTCATAACCTGTGTCGGCACAATTAATTAAATTGTTATACATCACTTCGCAAATACCTCCGGGAAGGAGGGCTTCCTCGCTCCTGTACACAGAGACAGGCTTCTTCTTCCAAGGTGCTGGTGTTAATCAATAGTTGCTCTGATCCCAATATTGGCTTTAGATGAGAGCTACTTCCTTGGTGGCCCCCTAGGGGAGCTGCTCTCCGTGATCCTGATTACCGTTAACAAAACAAGGCCGTTTGCTCATCAAGTCGCGGCACCCCAAGAGCGAGAGAAGGTGAGCGGCACTCAATACATCTATACTGCCGTCTTCCGTTGGTTGGATATAGCTATGCCATTGCGTGAGAGGAGCGATTTCTCCTAGGGCAACAGAACTTTGCTTCTGCCGTGGATGCTTGAGCTGAGATTCCTGCATTGCAGGGGATTGGACTAGATGGCCCTTGGGGGTCCCTGTCAACTCCACAGTTCTAAGATTCCACGATTCCCCTCCCTCTCTTCCCCTCGCCCCACCCCCAACTTTAAGGAGACGGTGGGTGCACAAAGGGTGCGGGTGGAGGAGAGGGAAGGAAGGTCCGTTGCTCAAGAGGAAGCTGTTCCACTTGAGCAGTGGACCAGAAGAGCACCTGCAGGATCAGGCCAATGGCCCACCTGGCCCAGAATCCTGTCCTCTCGGTGGCTTGTGGGAAGCTCGAAAGCTGCTGTTCGTTTGGGGCATGCAAATTAGATAGGTTCACGTTAAAATGCAAAATGGATGGCTTTCCTTCCTCATCTCCAGCAACAAATTTCCTACCTAACCCCCCCCCCCAACATCACATGCCATACTGCAGATTTCCTTAGCCATTCCTAACACACAGGGGCGTATCGTGGGTTGCCAGGTCCCGGGGCAGGACAAGTGTTGCACCCCCTGGTGGCCGGGAGCGGTCAGTCTGTTCGCTGGCCAGCATCTAATCAAGGGAGCCTCTCCTTGCAAAACCAGCTCTAGCCTGGGAGCAGAGATAAGGCAGATAAGCGGGATTGCCGTTGTGTCGCCTCCCCCTCCTGTCCTTGCAGTGAGGCACAACACACGGGGCTCCGGCAGTGCTTTCCCCCCTTCCACTTCCTCCCTCCCTCTCGGCTGGCTCAGGGACAGGGCATGTGCGGGCATCCCAAGGTGGCTTGCCTCCCCGTGGCTTCGGCCTCAATGAGGGACCCTGTCATGGGGGCGCCTGGTTGCATCCCCCACTTCAGAAATTTGCACCTGGTGCCACGGTCCCCAGCTCCCCATGCTACACCACCGCCAATACAGTACCAGGATGTCTTCGCTCCCACTGCTCCAGGCTCCCTTGAACTCCTCTGGGCTTCTGGAGGCAACCCCTTACCACTTGTTGCTGCCCCATAAAAAGTTCCACAATGGGAAAATTCACCGCAAGTATTTTTTTGGGTGGGGGGAGAATGCGGTGTCACATTCTAAACAGATGTCCCTCTTGCACTCTCCAAAATGAACAGTGGAACAGTGACTGTGATAAAAACTATAATCACTTCCGAAGCGGCTGTTTTTGGCAGTCCTGATGGCCTTTGGATGGACAATGAATCTTCCCAACTTTGTTGAATGCTCATTGGACAAGCTAGCACCATCCCTGGCATTGCCCTAATACTCCAAAAGTCTCTTCCGTCAGGCTGTTCTCTGTTGGGAAAGCACATAGCCTAAAAGCAGGCTGGGTTTTCTCAGAAGGCCTCATAAGTGTTCCGAGGCAAATCCTTTCCCCAAGCCGCGGATGCTATAAACAATATTTTCTATGCAGCACCAACGTGAAATGATTGCTTATAAACTCTGGACGGAAACCCCAGCAATAACTTACCTCTTGTCCTTTTGGATATTGTGGCTTGATAAGGTACATGATGTAAACATCTGATTATATTGTGCCTGGTGGCATTTTTATGCTCTAGGTGTCGTCCCCGAGGATGGTAAAAGCGGATGGCTGAAATTGCTTTTGGACACGGCTCCACGCTGCAGTGATGGTTTTGCGCTCATCAGCATGGATGCGAGGAGTGGGAAGGGGGAACAGAGGGCTCAGGCACACTTCTCTTTTGCCCCCCTCTTTCCAAGCACAGGTCCGAATTTAAAGGTCCGAGCGCTCCTCCCCCCTGTGAAAACCCACTCTCTAAAGCTGAAGTGCAACAAATGGCAGTTTGGGTTTTTTGTGGGTTGCTGTTTGCTCCAATTTAGCTATAAAGATCACATTATCGTGGGGAAAGCTCTGTGACAAAAAGGGCACTTGGTCATGGAAAGGTTAGTGTGGCTATGCCCAGACACAGGCTGAAACTCCAGAGCAGGGGCGCCGCAAGGGGTGTGGGTGTGGGTGTGGGTGCCCTGGGTGTCATGCCTGGGGGGGTGACAAAATCTCCCCGGGGCATATCAGTGTGGCATCACTCCCCCCCCCCGGGGAAATGGATTTTCGCAATTGGCGTGATCGGCGTTGGGAAAATCTGCCCCCTGATCGCGCAAATATGCCAGCCGTATTTGCTTGATCGGCGGGCTGTGCTGGCACCCCCGGGAGGATCAGCGCGCCCCCAGGTGCACGTCATGTTTGCCACTCCAGGTGCCCGCGCGGTTTCCTCCATCACTGCTCCAGAGGTCTTCACTGTTGCATCTCACGCTTTGCTCTCTCTCTGTTTGTTTGTGTTTAAGCCTATCCAGGACAATGGGCACAATCCACTGGAAAGATCTCCTGCACACCCACCCACCCACAAGAATGAATGGAATCTGTGCAACAGCCTCACCCCGGTTTTGCCCAGGCCCCATTAATTTCAGTGGGTCTTGGGTGGGAGAACAATCCCAGGAGATGGTGTTCAACGTGTTTGAGGAGGAAGCTTCCCTCGTAAGAACACAGTAAGAGTCTTGCTGGGTCAAGCCAAGGGCCCGTCTAGTCCAGCATCCTGTTCTCTCAGTGGCCAACAGATAATCCCAAAGGGAAACCAGCAAGCAGGATTCAAGCACAAGAGCTCTCCCTCGCTTTCCAGCAAGCGTCACTCAGAAGCATTGGCGCCTCCAACTCTGGAGAGTCCCCATGGCTAGCAGCCATTGTTAGTCCTCTATGGAAGTGAGAGCTGGACCATAAAAAAGGCTGATCGCCGAAGAATTGATGCTTTTGAATTCTGGTGCTGGAGGTGACTCTGGAGAGTCCCATGGACTGCAAGAAGATCCAACCTCTCCATTCTGAAGGAAATCAGCCCTGAGTGCTCACTGGAAGGACAGATCCTGAAGCTGAGGCTCCCCTACTTTGGCCACCTCATGAGAAGAGAAGACTCCCTGGAAAAGACCCTGATGTTGGGAAAGATGGAGGGTACAAGGAGAAGGGGATGACAGAGGATGAGATGGTGGGACAGTGTTCTCGAAGCTACCAGCATGAGTTTGACCAAACTGCGGGAGGCAGTGGAAGACAGAAGTGCCTGGCATGCTCTGGTCCATGGGGTCATGAAGAGTCAAACACGACTAAACAACTAAACAACAAACAACAACTTTTGAAGCCATCCAAGTTGGTTGTCATCGCCGCCTTCTGTGGCAGGGAGTTCCACAGTATAACCATGTTGCATGGAGCACAAGTGTGACCCCAGACCAGGAATACATAGGCTGTGTGAATCCAGCATCCTTTGAAAAGCAGCAAGATCATTATTGCAGCACAAGCTTTTGCGAACAACACTATTATTACTGTTACCTTTGGCGTGGTCCCTTCACATCTCCCAAGAAAGAAGGGATGCATCTCAAAGGGAATAAAGGATTGATGATCGGCTTAATGAGGATGGTGAGAATTTAGGGCCATTATTCTCTGTGGGGTTGTTTTTAGAGAGATGTCAGCAGAGGATGCCCATGTTGTGATTCCTGCACTGTGGGAGGTTGGACCAGATAGCACTTCCAGCTCTGCAGTTCTATGATTTTTCCAATCTTGAAAAAGGTGGTATCAGGGAAAAGCGAGTCCACTCTTGTCTATGAAAGCTCCTGCTGCTCCAGTGAATTTGTCAGTTATTAATGTCTTTAATTTTCAGACATTTTCTTTACTGCTACTCTTTCTAGATTGTGTGTGTGTGTGTGTGTGTGTGTATCAGGGCACTTGCTTCTGTAAAAGCTCCAATTTTCAGCCATTAAACAAGATCACTTTGCAGAGGAAAGAGGGTGATGATGAAGTAAATTGCTCAATTTGCACACACACACACACACACACACACACACACACAAATCCATCCTTCCAGCCATGTGTAAAGTGGCTGTTTAATAGCAGCAACTGGAACAAATAACATGAATGGCTTCACTTCCAACAGGAATGTACTATTTTTGCCAATTTCATGAGAGTCTTAGGGCCAAGCTACATATTACACTGGAATGCAGCACTTAAGCACAAAAGAGACATTGTAGAGTCGAAAAAGGCTTAGAAATGGTTAACTGGATGGAGTGCCTCTTCTGCAAAGAAGGGTTGCAGCGCTGGGGATTTTTAGTTTAGAGAAATGGCAAGTAAGGGGGGACATGATAGACGTTTCTAAAATTCTGCATGGCATGGAGAAAGTGGGGAGACAAAAGTTCTCCACTCTCCAATGCAGCTGAATATTGGGAGATCCAGGAGAGGTAAAAGGAAGGACTTCACACCATGCAGTGCGTAGTTTATCTGTGGAACTCCCTCCCACAGGAAGCAGCAATGAATAGAAGAAGAAGAAGAGTTTGGACTTGATATCCCGCTTTATCACTACCCGGAGGAGTCTCAAAGTGGCTCACAATCTCCTTTCCCTTCCTCCCTCTGTGAGGTGAGTGGGGCTGAGAGACTTCAGAGAAGTGTGACTGGCCCAAGGTCACCCAGCAGCTGCATGTGGAGGAGCGGGGAAGCAAACCAGGTTCACCACATTATGAGTCCACTGCTCTTAACCACTACACCACACTGGCTCTTTTAATTATTATTATGAAACATGGAAGAGGAGAGGGTTGTCGATGGCTCCTAGCCAGGATGGCCAAGCTCTGCCTCCACAGTCAAGGTAGCAGCAATTCTGTATATGAGATGCTGTGAGCCAGAGGAGGATACAATTGCTCTTGTGCTTGGATCCTGCTCGCTGGTTCCCCCCCAGCCATCTGGTTGGCCACTGAGAGAACAGGTTGCTGGACTAGATGGTCCAGTGGCCTGATTCTGCAGGCTCTTCTTATTTAGATGTTCTTATTTAGTTTAACTGCGATAATTTCTAAAATTCAAAATTAAAATTTGGAATTTTAATGCGTGCAACTTGCCATCATTTTCAGGCTGAACCTGCGGTGTAGCAATCCTTGCTTCTTAACAGGTTTCGGATAGCCACCTGAACACATGGGAAATGGTGAAACTGCAACTCTCCCCAAAAGTATCTAGGTGAGACTGCAGAAACCACAGCACTGTGATTTTTTGTGCTGTGATCTCCAGGCACAATGCTGCTGCACAACGGCGACTTGCAAAAATAAAAATAAAAATTAATAAGAAAGTTGCAAATGTAAAACTTCAGAAATACGTGCGTGCACAGAAGTATTGGCAAAGCCAGAGACTGCAACTTCTGTCTTTGCATTTGGGGGGGAAGAAGCACCCTCTCATCTTATATACACTCACACATTTTACAAGAAACCAATTATGGCATTCTAAGATAAGATACCGCATTCTATTTATAGCCCACCACAGAGTCATCTCAGACGGAATCTTACATAATTGCTTCCCAAAAAAGAATTGGAGTGCCTTAATAAGGTGTTCTGCAGGATCCTCATTTGCCTTCAGAAATAACCCTGAACTCAGTCATGCAAGCACACCTCCTCACTGAGCCAAAAACCCTCACCATGTAACACCTCCACATTCTTTCACATAATAGCAGCCAGATTTCATAATCTTTACTTTGATGCTTTTTTTCTGATTGCCACGCTAAAAGCAGGTGACTGGGATTCTATAGAAAGCCATTTCCCTCACCCTGAGAAAAGAAAGTGTGGCGCCAGACCAAGAACCTAAACATATTATCCCCAAAATGCAATATTAAAAAATGGGGTCAGTGTGGCACCTTCCAAAGGCCTTTAAGGAGCCATTGAAACTTCCAATTCCTTCCGTTTAGACATGAAGAGTGATCAGCAGTCAAAGACCCCCCAGAGCCAGACTCTGTAGAGACCATCACCCAAACCCCTGCAAGCAGCAGATATCCTCCCTAAATAATATTTGTTGGAGGCAAATAGCTCAGTTGGTTAGAGCATGGTGCTGACAATGTCAAGGTTGCAAGTTTGATCCCAGTAAGCTGCATAATCCTGCATTGCAGGGGGTTGGACTAGATGATTCTCTGGGTAACTTCCAATTCAATGATTCTATGAGCTAAAGCTTCTGGAAAAGAAGGAAAAACACACCTCAATTTATCCTGCCTTATGGAACAAACCCATCATAAGCTAAACAAAACAGGATCCGATCCACAAAAGTTGTCACTATAAAGCTGTGAAAGGCACAACTGATTAAGAAGGTGACATCTCTAGAATTTTATTACACTAAACTGGATCACAAAACCACAAAACTGTAGTGTTGGAAGAGACCCAAACGGTCATCTAGTGCAATCTCCTGCAATGCAATGTATCCAATGTATCATTTAAACAACAACAACACACTGTGAAATGGGAGAGGGGTATATTTTGAACTCAATATTTCATTACTAAAGAGCTTTCCCCAATCTTACAAGGGTTAAGAACACCCATCGCATTGTCAAAGGTGACCATCACCTTCGGTTCTCCAAGATACCCAAAGCCACCTCTTTTGACTTGTCTTGGGCCAACTACACAATACAGTTGTGAGTTTGTGGGGCCAGTTTGAAGGATGCCCCAACTTACTTCCAATTCTTGGGGTCCTCTACCCAGTGAGGGTTAGAATCTAAATAAAGGGTTCAACTCCTACCAAATTACCAGACATGTTTCTTTGCAAAACGACGACCTTAGCTGGCCACTCAAGTGTCTTCATCAGCATCCCAAAAGGATGGTTCAGGTTGCAAGAGCTACAACTGACGATGCCTTCCAGGCTAATGGGAGGGGAGCTTTCCTCCACCTGCCTCACCTGTCTGCTAGGTAGGAGAACAAGAGCCAGAGAGGTGTGTGTATGAACTGAACCAGAAGAAGGCTGGAGACACAGACTTGCTTGCTCTGTGCTGGATCCAAAACTGTGACTAATGGCGAAGCAAGATCCTATGCTCAGGTTGTGTTTATGTGTAAATAAAACCACACATCCCAAAGACATTGCAGTCGCTGGTGATCTTCACTCCAAGGAAACAGAGCCCAGGTAACTGCCTGGAACCCCCAGAGTCCCTCTCCACTGGGAGATTGGGGTACATGCAACAGTACTGATTTTCCCCGCACCCAAGAGATCGTTGTTGGGTAAAGCTGAACCCCTGACAACAAAGGAGAAGCCACAAAACTGTATCATGAAGCAGGTTCCCAAACCTACCCCCAAGACTCTGTGGAGCTCAGGAAAACCTCGGGCGCTTAGTACCAACAGCGGATGGTTCCATAGACAAGACCTGGCCCGGAAACGCAATCCAGACTCATTTTTACAAAACTGGGGGGGCAGGGGAGGGTGTGGACTTACACTGCACTATGAGCTGCACCAGGGCTTCCCTTGGCTTGACGTTAAAACCATTGTACTGGCTGGTCTGACACCTGTAAGTCCCCGTCATGTCCCTCGAGACGTTGACGATCCTCAGGATCCCATCGTAGCTCTCCATCTGCATAGTTCCATCGGGCATGGGGACCTCCTTGTCCGCCCTGGACCAGAGGATGATCGGCTTGGGCTTCCCGGTCACCTGGCACTGCAGCTCAACCGTGTCTCCTTCCCTGGTCACCAAGGGCGACTTTTCTTGCGGGACAGTCAGGTTGGGTGGAACTTCAAATGGGGGCAAAGGGGTGGGAGAGAGAAAAGGGAGGAAAGAGAGAGGGGGGCAAAAAAGGGATGATTAGTACTTAGAAGTTCTCTGCATATGATGCAAGCATAGGAATCATAGAATCATAGAGTTGGAAGAGACCACAAGGGCCATCGAGTCCAACCCCCTGCCAAGCAGGAAACACCATCAGAGCACTCCTGACATATGGTTGCCAAGCCTCTGCTTAAAGACCTCCAAAGAAGGAGACTCCACCACACTCCTTGGCAGCAAATTCCACTGTCGAACAGCTCTTACTGTCAGGAAGTTCTTCCTAATGTTTAGGTGGAATCTTCTTTCTTGGAGTTTGGATCCATTGCTCCGTGTCCGCTTCTCTGGAGCAGCAGAAAACAACCTTTCTCCCTCCTCTATGTGACATCCTTTTATATATTGGAACATGGCTATCATATCACCCCTTAACCTCCTCTTCTCCAGGCTAAACATGCCCAGCTCCCTTAGCCGTTCCTCATAAGGCATCGTTTCCAGGCCTTTGACCATTTTGGTTGCCCTCCTCTGGACATGTTCCAGTTTGTCAGTGTCCTTCCTGAACTGTGGTGCCCAGAACTGGACACAGTACTCCAGGTGAGGTCTGACCAGAGCAGAATACAGTGGCACTATTACTTCCCTTGATCTAGATGCTATACTCCTATTGATGCAGCCCAGAATTGCATTGGCTTTTTTAGCTGCCGCATCACACTGTTGGCTCATGTCAAGTTTGTGGTCAACCAAGACTCCTAGATCCTTTTCACATGCACTCAAGCCAGGTGTCACCCATCTTGTATTTGTGCCTCTCATTTTTTTTGCCCAAGTGCAAGGATTGCTCTGTCTGCCAGGATTTACAGCATATATATATATATATATATATATATATATATATATATATATATGTTGAAACTGTGAAACTGTGCAAATTAAATGCGGGGGGGGGGACTCTTTTGTACCAGGTGACCCAAGTGGAGCCCATGCAAAAAGATTTTAATCTCTCTGCCTTGCTTGCTAGGCTAGGGATGGTCTTGTGGATAGTTGGATGGCCCTGTGAGATCCCGTGAGAGCATCACAGACTCTTGCCCAATAAACAAAGCAGAGAACTTTTAGTTGTGGAGGGGGGCGTATAGCCTGGCTGGCGCACCAGCTCCAGAAGGCATGAATGCATATATGGGGGCAGTTCCAAGGAGGCCGTTTGAACATATGCATTTTTGCATATCCGCACCATCCCCAGAACATAACACCCAAGAAAGATGCCATTGTACAGAAATTATCTGGGCTTTTGAGAATTTCACATGAAGCAGGAGAAAGAGGGGAAAACTCCCCCTTGCAGTAGACCAACCACTGTGCAGTCCGTCTTCCTCAATGTCTGCTGCTCACAGCACCAGAAGTGTGGGAAATTAGCAGCCAAATCTAACAATGCATATTCTTGCTAGTTAGCATAAGAAGGGGTTAAGGCCACAGAGCTGTATTGCTGATGGGCAGAGACTCAGACCATAGAAATGTAACTGGTAGAGAGGGCTCTGCGTGATGTCATTTCCCCTCATCTCTTGAGCAGGAAGAATCAAAGAAGTATTTCCTGTTCCTTTCCTCTCTCTTTCTCTTTGACCAGCGATGGGAGCAGACATGGATCCTACTGTTCCATCTCAACCACACGCCTCAGGTCTGTTTATGCGGTAAAGATTTTCCCTTCATTTATTTCCCTGCTGTTGCTGCTGAGAACAAATGCAGGACTATGAGTAAATAAATCATATTTTAAACTACTTCTCAGCCTGTTGTCTGCATCTTTGTTAAGCAGGGGAAGAAAAGGGGGAGGCAGCTTGCTTCTCAGCCGGACTTAATTCGCAACCTGTTCCTATATGCTTTCCATTTTTCCGCTAAGGATCAGACTTTAAACTCTTCTCAGGGTATGTTCAACCCACACACGTTGGCACCTGGAGGGATAAATTGCCATTAATATATCCTCTCCTACGTATTAAAACATATCCCACAAGAAGTAGATAAAAAGAAGTGAAAAAAATAACTTACTTTTCCATTAAAACAGGTATTTGTTTTGCAGGCACAATAATATTGAAAGGTGTTTAAAAAGTTTTAGAAATGATTGGAGGATGGATGGACGGTTGGAGGTTGGATGGCGGCTAACAGATTGAGGTTGAATCCTGACAAGACAGAAGTATTGTTTTTGGGGGACAGGAGGCGGGCAGGTGTGGGGGATTCCCTGGTCCTGAATGGAGTAACTGTGCCCCCGAAGGACCAGGTGCGCAGCCTGGGAGTCATTCTGGAATCACAGCTGTCCATGGAGGCACAGGTCACATCTGTGTCCAGGGCAGCTGTCCACCAGTTCCATCTGGTACGCAGGCTGAGACCCTCCCTGCCCGCGGACTGTCTCGCCAGAGTGGTGCATGATCTAGTTATCTCTTGCTTGGACTACTGCAATGCGCTCTCCGTGGGGCTACCTTTGAAGGTGACCCGAAAACTACAACTAATCCAGAATGCGGCAGCTAGACTGGTGACTGGGGGCAGCCGCTGAGACCATATAACACCGGTCCTGAAAGACCTACACTGGCTCCCAGTACGTTTCCGAGCACAATTCCAAGTGTTGGGGCTGACCTTCAAAGCCCTAAACAGCCTCAGCCCAGTAAACCTGAAGGAGCGTCTCCACCCCCATCGTTCTGCCCGGACACTGAGGTCCAGTGCCAAGGGCCTCCTGGCGGTTCCCTCATTGCGAGAAGCTAAGTTACAGGGAACCAGGCAGAGGGCCTTCTCGGTGGTGGCACCCGCCCTGTGGAACGCCCTCCCATCAGATGTCAAAGAGAAAAATAGCTACCAAACTTTTAGAAGACATCTGAAGGCAGCCCTGTTTAGGGAAGCTTTTAAAGTTTAATAGGTTGTTGTATTTTACTGTTTTGTTGGAAGCTGCCTAGAGTGGCTGGGGGGATCCAGCCAGATGGGTGGGGTATAAATAATAAATTATTATTATTATTATTATTATTATTATTATTATTACTACTCTGAGTAAGGCTTGCCATTTTTAAGAAGTCTGGGCCGAGCCATTAATTACAGTGTAGGAATTTACTCTTGGCATGATTGCAACGGGCACATTTATTTAAAGGTAACAAAATACTCCAGCGGTTGCTTTCGGAATGAAGAGAAGGTTGTTTCTCTCCTTCCCCGCCAGGCTCATCCGGGGAAGGGAGCAAAAGCACCGGGAAGAACAGGCTCCCTTTGGTCTCTTGAGAGTGTGACATTCAATTAGTAAGTGCATTTTGCAGATAAAAAGGTCAGTCAAAAGGAAGAGAGGCCACCCTGACCCGCCACTTCCTTGCTCAAAGAGCTTAACACAGTTTCCAACTGTGACTCACCCTGTACGATAAAAAGGGGGGTCAGAGAAAGAAACAACTTCTCCAGATGCTTAAAGAAATGGCTCAGAACAGGAATCCTGATGGATGTTCTGTAGCAACCAGCCTGTGCCCTAACTTTTGGCGAGGTTACCCTAGTTGAAGGTAAAGGTAAAGGACCCCTGGACGGTTAAGGCGACTATGGGGTTGTGGAGTTCATCTCACTTTCAGGCCGAGGGAGCCGGCGTTTGTCCACAGACAGCTTTTTGGGTCAAGTGGCCAGCAGGACTAAACCACTACTGGCGCACAGAGGACCGTGACGAGTGCCAGAGCGCACGGAAACGCCGTTTACCTCCCCGCCGCAGCGGTACCTATTTATCTACTTGCACTTTGACGTGCTTTCGAACTGCTAGGTTGGCAGGAGCTGGGACAGGGCAACGGGAGCTCACCCCGTCGCGGGGATTCGAACCACCAACCTTGCGATCGGCAAACCCAAGAGGCTCAGTGGTTTAGACCACAGCACCACCCAAGTTCTCTTCTTTTACCTTTACCTAGTTGAAGAGGAGGAGAGGATGGGAGAAGCTGTTTGAAAGTCAGATGATGATGATGATGATATCATCATCATCATCATTATCATCACCACTTGTTTATTTAATTCACAAAATTTATATACCGCTTGATTGTAAACAAAAGCGGTTTACAAAAAGATAAAAGAAGAAAATCTGGGCAGGCTTGTCTAAAAAGGAATGCACTGGAAAAAGCACCGTGAAGGTGCCTGCTTGATCTCAATAGGCAGGGAGTTCCACAGAGTACATGCTGTCTCACTAAACGATCAGTTTCTCGCTAACGCAGAACTGGTATCACGTGGCAACTGCCAATTCTGCCAATTGAAGCGATTGAGTGGGCACATGTGGAGTAGGGAGATCTTGTAGGCTTTTGCCAAGTCAACTCCAAGAGGCTTACAAAACAACTTCCAGAAAACAAACAGCTATACAGTATATTAAAAACATTAAAACACACAGAAGTCAGGAGAGGGCTGCTGCCCCATCACACCATCATAGAATTGTAGAGGAGCAGGAGTTTGGAAGAAGAAGAGACTGAGAGACAATGGGAAAGCCTTCTTCATATATCTGAAGGGCTGCCCCATGGAAGATGGAGCAGGCTTGCTTTCTGCTGCTCTGGAGAGTAGGACCTGAACCAATGGATTCAGATGACAAGAAAGGAGAGTCCAACTAAACATTAGGAAGAACTTTCTGACAGTATGAGCTGTTCGGCAGTGGAAAGGAGCCATCGGAAGGTGGTGGACTCTCCTTCATTGGAGGTTTTTAATAAGGTTGCCGTCTGTCAGGGAATCTTGAGCTGAGATTCCTGCATTTCAGGGGGTTGGACTGGACGGCTCTTGGGGTCCCTCCCAACTCAACAATTCTATGATTCTGTGATTTTAAATACACCTGGGGAGTCACAAAGGAATGTGCAGAACAGATCTGGGGGCATGTGGGGAGAGGTGGAAGTCCCACTGCAGAAGCAGAAGTCATTCCACTCACCCAGTGACTTAGCACTACTTGGGATTTGATATATATATGTGTGTGTGGGTGAGTGAATTGTTGGACATTATGGAAATGTTTCTAAATATCTCTTTGCTATCCCTGCAAGTCCAAACAGTGATGAGTAACTCTCAATGACCTTCACATGCACTTGGAGTTTGCTGTGCGATTGTGATCAAGTTCTGCCCTCTAGACGGTGTTGATGACTAAGAGGACACCCAAGGAGATTGGTTCTACCTCAAGGCTTTCTTCCTCTCAGCCCTTTCTCCATCCATCATTGCCCATCCATCACTGCCCGAGGAAGTTATGGGGAGCTTTCAGGTCCGACCTTCTGATGGATGCTTCTGATATCTCCAATCCCTCTTCCAAATGAATCCATCACAACTAACAATAATGCATCGGTTACTTTCTGCTGGAGAAGAAATACGCCACTGTGTGGAACGGCCCGGCGGCAACCCGGCGAGACGGTCACAACACAGCCGTGTCCGCCGCCCATCCATCATGCCATGGACATCCAATAAGACCTGTATTCACACTACACTTCAACATTTGGGTCTTGCTGTGAGTTATGAGCAGCTGTGTTGTGCTAAAGGAAAGAAGGATGTTGGCAACCCTGAGCAAAGTTACTTTAGGATCCATGAACATTGCTCACATTCTGTCTTATATTGAATCGAAATCCTAGAGGAGGGGTGGGGATTCTCTCGCCCGCAGGCCCACCAGAACTGATACAGCGAGGATGTTGGGGGCAAATGCCCACCTTTCCAGGGCCTGACATATTGTGTGTGTGTGTGTGCTTGTAATGAGCTTGAGGGGCAGGGTCAGTCTGGATGATGCCCTGAGTTCCTTTCAATTCTCAGAGGACTGTACCCTGCTGTCAGCTGGTCTAGATGCAGGTCAGCACTCAAGATGTAGACAAGCAGAATGGTTGGCTCTTCCTTCAAGAAAACAGCATGCCAGGCAGCGATGCCTATAAAAAAGGACTGGTCCCCATGAAACAGTTGCCAGGACTGAAGCTCTCTGCCTTCTACTTTCCACTAAGTCTCTTCCCCTGCCAGATGTCTCCCAAGCAGCCTTAAACTAAGTTGGGGCGGGGCCACCATGCCGACCGTTCTGCTCCATGCAAGGCTCTCTGTGACCTTGGAGACAAGCAGCCCCTCCTTCTCTGCTTCATGTCCTGAGTCTGCATTGCTTTCTGCTCTAGCTCTTCTCTCTCACTCAAGCCGGTTGCTTCTTCAGCCTCCAACCCTTCTGTCCCCCACCTTCATCCTCCAGCCTGTCCTCAGTGTCCCACCACCACTGCCCAGGCTCTGAGTCTTCCTCCCCTGAGTCTTCTTCCCTGGCTGGTGCCTCCCACACCTCCTCTTCGTCCAGCCAGCACCTGACATCCCGCTTCCTCTGTGCTGGGTCCAAAACTGCAGCTAATGAAGAAGCCCATTGACACCCATTGGAGTGTCAATGCTGTGAGCTCCTCCATCCTATGCTCAGGATGTATCTATGTGCCAATAAATCCACATAGCCTAAAGACACCACAGTCTCCGCTGACCTTCATTCCAAGGAAACTAACTCCTGGGTAAGCGCAGAAACTCCTGGAGTCTCTCACTGCTGGCATGTCACACTCTCCCTTCTTGTGGTTTCCAGCAACTGGTGTTCAGAATCATTGCTGCCTCCAAGTGTGGAGGTGCAAAATAGCCATGATGCCTAGTAGTTATCAATAGCCTTGTCCTCCACGAATCTGTCCAGTCCTCTGTTCAGGCCATCCAAGTTGGTAACCATCACTGCCTCCCGTAGGACGCCAGTTCTGTTGTCTAACTATCAGCATCATGAATTGTCGAGTTGGAAGGGCCATCTAGCCCAACCCCCAGTAATAAGAACCCAGGAAGATCCCTGCAGGATCAGGCCAGTGGCCCAGCTACACCAACATCCTGTTCTCACAGATGCCTGTGGGAAACCTGCAAGCAGGATCCAAGCACAAGGGCAACTCCTCCCTCCTGTGACTGGCATTGCTGCCTCCGACTGCGACTGAATCTCTGCCCCCCTCATTGTTCAACCCCCCCTTCTCCTTCTGGTGAGTCAGCAGCCTGACTTCCTCGAAGTTGTCCCAGGAGACGTGTTACTCATACCACAAAGGACCAGGAGACTGTGGAGAGACACTCATTCCCAGGACACAATGTCTGCTTTACAGGTCAAGGTGTTTGGCTTTACAAAAGCATCAAACAATGGGAGCGCCTCTTGCCTTTCAGTCCTCAGCTGAAAACTCACCTCCTCTTCTTCCCTGACACCTCCTTGGTCACCCTCCCAAAATGTTAATCTTTCTTAGAAATCAAATCTAAAGCTTCATGAGCTCTTCCTTCCTCTCCTCTGGTGCTCTGAGCGTTAAGTAATAAGCAGACTAAATTAGGCTGAATTGGGGCCGACGCCGAGGTGCTTAACTTGCAGGATGCATTCTATCCACAGGATCGGGATCCATATCAATACAGTAGGTGGCCTTACATACCCTTACATACCCTTCAACATTTCTCCAGTGAAAATAGGGACGTCCTATTACACTCCATCCGACTTTTCTCCAATGAATACAGGGGTGTCCGATTCCACCCTCTCCACCATTTCTCCAGTGAAGGGAACGTGGGACATTCCAGGATCCAGTCAGAAACTGGGATGTCTTCTGTAATTCCAGGCATGGGAAATTGGGATACTTGGAGGGTCTGGCCTCATACAGAACCAGACCCACTGGTCCACCTAGCTCATAACTAGCTAGGGTTATATATATTTTTTGTAATTGTGCAAATCTGTTCATGTTGTAAGTCACCTTGGGCATGGTTTTAACAATGAAGAGGTGAGATGAATCCCAGCCCAAATTAGCTCCTTTGATATTTGTCCCTGTTGAAATGAGTGGTGAGGAGACGGTTGCCCATCACTCCTGGAAACCTAAGGGAGTCTCAAGGCTCCGTGACAACCATGCCGCTGGTCTCCATCCACTGCCTACCCACCTGAATCTCCACAATGGTGGAGGGGTTGGAGCAATGTTTCTCAAACTTGGGTCCTCAGTTGTTGTTGTTGGACTACAACTCCCATCATCCCTGACCACTGGTCCTGCTAGCTAGGGGAAATGGGAGTTGTAGTCCAAAACCAGCTAGGGATCCCAGCTTGAGAAACACCAGTAGAGCGTTGGTCTAGGACCTGGGAGCTCACTGGGTGACCTTGGGCCAGTCCCTGCCTCTCTCAGCTTAACCTAACTCCCAGGGTTGTGCTTGTTGTGGGGACTGAATGAGGAGCAGCTGGAGGAGAATTATGGACGCCACCTTGAGCTCCTTGGAGGAAAAGTTGGGCTATAAATGCCATTAATAAATAAACATTATGTCAGGGAGCTGCAGTCGCCTCAGAGGCGAGAAATAGAAGGGCAGTTGTGTTACAGGGAGCCTCCAAAAATCTTGCAAAGCAGTTCCTCTTCCAGGGAGGAGGAAAGCCCCACCTCTAGTGGGGAAGAGGTGCAAGGACCAGAGGATGCTGGTGATAGCCTTAACACCGCTCTTTGGCAGGCCGGACAGGAGGGAAACACACCCTTGCCATCACCCATCCTGCGCATATAATAATAATAATAATAATAATAATAATAATAATAATAATTTATTATTTATACCTCGCCCATCTGGCTAAGTTTCCCCAGCCACTCTGGGCGGCTCCCAATCAAGTGTTAAAAACAGTATAGCATTAAATATTAAAAACTGCCTTCAGATGTCTTTTAAAGATAGGATAGCTGCTTATTTCCTTCACATCTGAAGGGAGGGTGTTCCACAGGGTGGGCGCCACTACCGAGAAGGCCCTCTGTCTGGTTCCCTGTAACCTCACTTCTTGCAATGAGGGAACCACCAGAAGGCCCTCGGTGCTGGATCTCAGTGTCCGGGCTGAACGATGGGGGTGGAGACGCTCCTTCAGGTATACTGGGCTGAGGCTGTTTAGGGCTTTCAAGGTCAGCCCCAACACTTTGAATTGTGCTCAGAAACATACTGGGAGCCAATGTAGGTCTTTCAGGACCGGTATTATATGGTCTCAGCGGCTGCTCCCAGTCACCAGTCTAGCTGCCACATTCTGGATTAGTTGTAGTTTCCGGGTCACCTTCAAAGGTAGCCCCACATAGAGCGCATTGCAGTAGTCCAAGCAGGAGATAACCAGAGCATGCACCACTCTGGCAAGACAGTCTGCGGGCAGGTAGGGTCTCAGCCTGCGTACCAGATGGAGCTGGTAAACAGCTGCCCTGGACACAGAATTAACCTGCGCCTCCATGGACAGCTGTGAGTCCAAAATGACTCGCAGTAGTTTGAGGCGCAGAGAGGGGAGTCGTTTGGGGGTAACAAAACTCTTATGTTGGGGGAGGTCCAAAAAGAGACCACTCCCGGATTCTGCTAGCAATTGAGCCAGACATGAGCTTTGGGGCTCTTCACTGTAAATAGTTTGCACCAAAATAAAGCCTGAAAATGACAGGTTACTCTCGAGCAACCGCAACAGCCACCTGACACATTATCTCTTGCCTCCAATTCTGGCTGCCAAATCAGACTCCAAGAGTGACGGAAATGCCCTCACCTGTGCTGCTGGAAATGTTGACATCGATGCTGATGTCCGAAATCCCCCCGCCCTTCAGGGATGCAACACAGGTGTATGTCCCAAAGTCCGTGAACTTCAGGTCAATGATATCCAAGTTGGTGGTGCCCGGGGAGACGTCGGGGTCCGTCTGGGTGATGACCATCCTCTCTGAGCTGCGCAGCGGCCGGCCGTTTTTGAACCAGCTGAAGGTGAGCTCCTCGGAAGGGACCGCCTCCACCTGGCAGGAGATCTTGACCTCCCGGCCGATCTGGATGTTGTCGTCTTTGTGATACGGGTCAGGCGTGATCCAGAACCGCCCTTTCTTCAACGCTAAAGGGAAGAGAAGCGCAAGGTGAGTTGGGGGCAAGGACCCCTTTTGATTCACTGCACAGGTGAGACCAGGGATTCAGGAACCTGCCAATTTCTACACTTCTCACAGCTTTTCCAATTGGGTTGTCCACATTTTTTCAGCAACTTGCAACACAAGTATAATGTTTCCAAAGCTGCATGAAACTTTGCTGGCAATTTAGTGCAAATTTCTCTTAATGTACACATTTTTTGTATGCACTTTTGACTAATGTGCATATTTCTTCAAACTGCTTCCTTTCATATAATGCGTTCATGATGCTTTCCCCACTAATACACACATTCTTATGCACCCTTTAATACACATTATTTAGTTGGAGAAGCGTTTTGCAAAATTCAAAGAAGTGCAGATTGCAGAGGATAACTGTGTGTTGGGTTCATGCAATGGTTTGAAATGCTGGAATAAGGTCGTTTCTCATTAAAACAACGCAGATATAACCCAAATACCTAAAAAACCACCTCCTTCCTTACAGACTCTCTTGGGTGCTGAGATAGGCAGAGGGGGCCCTTTTGGTCGTTCCTCCACCCACTGAGGCTCAAGGGGTGGCAGCACAGGGCCTTCTCTGTGGTGGCCCCTGAGCTGGGAAACCCCTTCCCCACAGAAGTGTGTCTGACACCTTCATTGCACAGCTTCTGGCAAATGACGAGTGGCTTTTGACAACCTGGGATGTATATTTTCAGCACCTACATTATTTCTGTGATTGTCAGTTTCTTTAAACTGATTTTAATATTGTGTTTTCTCTGTCGCAACCAAACCCTGGGGCCTTGGGTGGAAGGGCAGAGAAATAACAAGAAACAAAGTAAGATTTCTCCCCTTTCCTTAGGCGAGACACAACACCATGGCAAACCGTCAAAAAGGGAGAACATCTCTGTTGGCAAGCAGTTCTGTAAGTAACAGCCAATTCCCCCCAATTCTGCATTCTCCTTGGGACTGAATGTGCTTTGCTGTGTTAGGCTGTAGCCACGAGGCCAAGGAGAAGCAACCACTGTGCCTCCCTGCCTGGCCTGCTGCTCTCACTAAGCCTCTGGGCGTGCTGAAGTTTGATGCTCCACAAGCCACCTTAAAAGATAAGCCACTTTTTAAGTGCCACCCATACGGTTCCTGCTTGTATAAGTGTCTCTGTTTTGCTTCGTGCTGGAAAAGTGCCATAAAGACTAAGACGCGGGCCGAACGTTTTAGCAAGCAAACATTCAGGCTGAATGCAAACTGTGCAAGACAAATAGCAAAATGCAAATTTCAGCAGCAGCAGCACGGACTTCGCAGCCTAGGAGAACTTCCATGCCCCCTTATTTCCCTGGCTGCTGATTCCATACCCCCTTACTTCCCAGGAGGACGAGGTGTGGGTGAGATTAGGACATGGCTGACAGTCTGTTGCCCTGGACTGATGCAATGGTGGACTGACCAAGGGGGACATTATCGGAACAAAAGGCAGAAGGTTCTAGACAAGCTCATCGCCTCTCTTGTGTCACGACACGGTTCCTACGTCATTTAGCAATTTTGTGGCCGGGTGTGCAGCAATGCATGCTGGGAAAGGTCTTACGAGGTCATCCATAGTTCACATCAGGACAGTTCCCTCCCCCCTGCCCATATGCATGGCAAATACAGAAATCCCTCGTCCACACTCAATAGCTTTGACTCTTTTGACCAAGGCTCTGGACACCAAGCCTCCTGAGGAATGCTTGAGGGAGTTGGCTGGTCTAGCCTGGAGAAGAGAAGACTGAGAGGAGATATTGAAGGGGGGGTTAGACTAGATGATCCTTAGGGTGCCTTGGGGTTCCTTCCAACTCTATGATCTTGTCATTCTATGATATGAGAGCCATCTTCAAACATCTTATTCCAGAAACTACAACTGATCCAGAATGTGGCTGACAGGCTGGTGACTGGGAGCAGCTGCCGGGACCAGATAACACTGGTTTTAAAGGATTAAGAGCTGTTTGACAGTGGAACCGTCTCCCTCAAGAGGTTGTGGACTCTCCTTCTTTGGAGGTTTTTTTTAGCAGAGGTTAGATGGTCATCTGTCACGGATGCTTTAGTTGAGATCCCTGCATTGCAGGAATGACTTTTGGGGGTCCCTTCCAACTCCACACGGACACGGGTGGCACTGTGGTCTAAACCACTGAGCCTCTTGGACTTGCCGATCAGAAGGTTGGCGGTTCAAATCCCCGTGACGGTGTGAGCACCCATTGCTCAGTCCCTGCTCCTGCCCACCTAGCAGTTCGAAAGCATGTCAAAGTGCAAGTAGATAAATAGGTACCACTCCAGCAGGAAGGTAAACGGCGTTTCCGTGCGCTGCTCTGGTTCGCCAGAAGCTGCTTAGTCATGCTGGCCACATGACCTGGAAAAACTGTGGACAAACGCTGGCTCCCTCGGCCTATAGAGCGAGATGAGCGCACAACCCCAGAGTCGTCCACGACTGGACTTAACAGTCAGGGGTCCTTTACCTTACCTTTTTTACCTCCAACTCCACAATTCTCTGATTCTATATGGCGTGCTGCTAAGTTGTAGCTTTCTGCTTTACTTTAATTGTTCCTTTCATCTTTCCTCCCTGATCATTTTAAGCCGCTTTGGACGGGCGTTTGCCTTAAAGGATTTGACACTTTTACAAAAAAGAGAGGTCATTTTAGCAGCTGCCTGCTCCACACTCAGGAAAAGCCCCACCTGCAAGACTCACCCACTCCAGAACATCTTCTTAAGCAATTCCAAAACATGTCCTAAGCCCTCCCTGTGGCCAAACACGACCCCTCCTGTCCCCTGCCTCAACCAACGGCATTTCTAATGCACAAATTAAGTTGCAACTGCCTTGGCGACAACTTCTCCGCGTCCTCTCGAGGTGTAGTTGTGCTGGCCTTCCTCCACCCCAAGCATTCCTCTAATCTGCCCAAACATCCCTATCTTGCAAATGCACATTTAGCCCGACATGAATGGCATCAAAGGGAGCCTTTCAGCTCCCTTCTGTCAACAGGCTTTGCTGGAATACTTATGGCAAAGTCAGCCGCCTCTGAAGCGCCCACCAGGGACCCAGGGCTGCTCACGTCGGCCTCTGCAGAGGATGTTTATGGGTTTGACCATGCAAAGCCTGTGGCGTCGACCGTGGTAAGGAGCCGGCCTGCGAGACGAAGCAAATTGGGCTAGAGCTGAGCCAACAATTCTCAGAAGACTGTTTCTTTCCCCCCGAGAAAATTCTGCTGAGTCTTTTTTCTCTCTCTCGCCCCCACTTCGCAATCAAAGCCACATTCACACTGTGCATTTAAAGGACTACGGTGCCGCTTTGAAACACACATGGCTTTCCCCCCAAGAATCCTGGGAACTATAGTTTCTTGAGGGTCCTGGTGGCTGTTAGGAGACTCTCATTTTTCCCCTGCCAAAGCTACAATTGCAGGAGCTCCCTGGGAAAAGGGATTGGTGGTTCTGGGAGGGGAATAGGAGGGTCTCATAACAACCTGCAGTGCCCTTAACAAACCACAGCTCCCCCAGACGCTGCCCCATCTAAATCAGACTGGCAAAACAAATTAAGAGAATCTGTGGAACTAGTGAGACTGTCAGGGGACTGCCATTGGAAAAGGGAAGGGAGGCAGAGGGGCCGTTGGGACACAGAGAGTCTCCGGAAATCTTGCTTCCAACTGTGGAACAGTCCTAACTGCAATAGAGACCCCCGTCTGAATCCCCAGATAGTTATTGTTGCCAGTCCGTGTGGGTAATACTGAGCCAGATGGAGCCACAGTCCGGCTCCGCAAACGGCATCTCTCCACGCTCCTCTCCTTCCAGACGCCAGCTCTGCTCCTGGTGGGGCTCCTCCTCCGCTCCTTAGCATTTAACAAATCCCCAACTTTCAAAAAGTGTCGGTGCAATTAAGCAGCAAGGCATTATCCTACCAGGGCATCTCAAAACTTTTTAATATCAAGTAATTACTTGGCACTTATGAGACCAGATGCATTCACATTTTCAATTTAAATGCAAATACTGCTGAAGGATTTACACAGGTTGGTACCTCTAATTTTTATAAATGCCTCTTTCTTAAAAAAAGGGGGGGAGGAGAGGAGAGAGGAGAGGGGGAGAACGGCAAGAGAACTTGATCTTTTGCAAGTGTAGCGCTACAGATGTCTCCATCCGCCTGGGATCAAGTTAATTAGGTACTGTTTGTCTGGCAGGATTCCAGTGGGGGTGTGGGCCATAGGTGGATTCTCTGCAGGAGTGAGGCACTCAGCAGCTGAAGTGCACCTGAGCACAGTTCTGGCACCTCTCGGGTGGGCACCATTGCGGGCTGGCGCTCCCCCCCCACCTGCTCCTTGCCTATTCCTTCACTGCACTGATTTCCAGGGTCCCTTCCAACTCTACGATTCTATGATCTGACTTAGCAGAAGACAGCTTCCAATATTCCTCAGGCCCTGGAGATCCACCGCTGTTTGCAGCCTTCCTTCAGAGCTTGATTGCACCCTCTTCCCCGCAACTCTTCAGAGGCGCCCTCGTGGCACGGAAAGCTTTTAACCTATTATTTAGGAATAATCATTACTGCATCCGGCTGCAACAACATGATCAATAGGCTATCTACATCTTAATGTGGAGCTGCCTATAAAATCGACCCAGGAAATGCCTCGGCTTCTTGCAGAGTCCCGGCCTCGGTTCCCGGCTGTAAAATGCACAAGGGGATTAAACTGAGTGGCCGTTGCGCTTCTGTGTTTTTATCCATGGGCTTGTAAAGTTTCATGGGGAGAGAGATGCTCAGCACGGCAAGAGTGCAAACTTTAAACCACTTGCAAACCGCTAAAGAATGTAGGAAGAGTCTGCTGGCTGGGGGCAATGGTCCATCTCGTTCAGAATCCTGTTCTCACAGTGGCCAACCAAATGTCTGTGGGGAACCAGCAAGCAGCACTTGGGCGCAAGACCCTTCTTCCCTCCTGTGGCTTCCAGCAACTGATGTTCAGAAGCATTGCTGCTTCCAACTGTGGAGGCAGAACAGAGCCATCGTGACTAGAAGCCATCAACGGCCCACTACTCCATCAGTTTGCCTAATCCTCTTTTAAAAACATCTAGGTTAGCGGCCATCCAGTTTAACTATGTGCCGCATGTAGAAGTACAATTCTGCTGCTTTGGATTCCACTGAAGAACATTGGCTCTAGTAGGTTTATTGAGATGACCTTATTGTCGTCAGATCAACAATTCATGCTTTGCCTGATAGGCACATGAAGGGACTGAGGCTCACAGAGTTTTTTCCCAAAACAAAATAAAAAAATTCCTCCCAGTAGCACCTTAGAGACCAACTAAGTTTGTTATTGGTATGAGCTTTCGTGTGCATGCACACTTCTTCAGGTACAGTGGTACCTCTGGATGCGAACGGGATCTGTTCTGGAGCCCCGTTCGCATCCTGATGCAAACGTAAGACGCGACTGCGCGTCTGCGCGTGCACGTTTCACCGCTTCCGCGCATGCACGTAACGTCATTTTGAGTGTCTGCGCATGCACGAACGGTGAAACCTGGAAGTAACGCGCTCTGTTACTTCTGGGTCGCCGCAGAGCGCAACCCGAAAATATTTAAGCTGAAGAGTATTCATCCCGAGATATGACTGTACACTGAAACAGAAGTCACCAGACCTTTATATATAGTGAGAGGGAGGGGTATTACTCAGAAGGGTGGTGGGAATGGGTGATTGGCTGATAGGTGTAGTAAACCTGTTGACGAGCTTTCTTGTGAAATTTGCCAGAGAGAATTCTGTGAGATTACTTCTTTTGTCTGCCTCGGCAGGAAGCTGCAACACTACTTCCTTCCTTTCTGAGCAGCCTCCTCTTTCTTCATCGTGATTCCAAGCGTGTCTGAGCTCTGCACCTCAGATGCCATTTTTGAACTTATGTTTTGAGCTTTTGTAACTTAGATAATAGTTATAAGCTTGCCTTCATTTTGCTACTGCAATTGCTGCTTCAAGACCTAGATTATGTAAGTAAGTCCTACTTTTACTTCTTCACAAAACTGTGATTTTTGCTTTTAAGAGGGAGGAAAAGGGCTAATCCCAGGAAAATCCACTCCGCCTTAAAGCATCCTGCATAATTGTTTCTAGAAGTTTAAAACAACCTTGTGTTAGCTTCTGAGTATAAGCTGCAAAGAACTGTACTCTGCTGATCTCACTCATGTGAGCCAGGAAGGATCATAACTATGCAATATATCTTCTTCTAGTGTTTAAATCCAGACCTGCACATTGAGGAGACTCCTTTACAGATGCGTGGTGCATGCACTTGAGGGTGCCAAAAGTTGGGGTAGGATATTGAATCCTCTGCAACTTTCCATCTGG